AATATTTTCTCCCATTAAGTAGGTTTCCTTTTCATTTTGTTGATCAGTTTTTGTTTAAGTGAGTCTAGTAATTTTCAGCCTTATCTACAATTACTGAAAAGACTTCCTTTTTATTAAGAAAATAATTAGGTTTTATGGACAGTGAATACTGATTTTACTAAATTTATACTCAGTTTTACAATCTTTCCCTTAAGAGAGATTTGCCAATTTTAGATAATCTTCTCCTTTGTACACCTATTGGTGACATGGTTTCACAGTGATCATGGGAGAGAACAGGTGCTGTGTGGTGAATTTCAAGCTTTTACATTTGGAGCGTCCTGTCCACTCATGCCTGGGGCAGATGAGTGTTGTTACAGGACTGTCATTATCAGTAACTCATTGAGGACAAGGTATGTATATTGTGGGTGAATGTACATAATTACAGTCTCTCAAAATTTTAGGAACCCTTTACTTGCTGATTGGATATAATTTTATGTGGTGCTTTTCATTTTAAGAGTTGGATTTCTTTTTTTTAACATTTCAAGTTCAACTTTAGGGGAATAGAATCATCATAAACTGTTGTCTAATACTCGGCATAAAATGATTGACTTTTAGCCCAAAGTAGTTATCTCCAACTCCCAACTGCAGGTTTTTATGTTCACTTGTCTGGGTAGCTATGTCTACCCAGATTTCCCATAGCATCTTACATTCATCTTGCCTCATACTAGATTCTGTTCTTTGATTTCCTGTTTCGGTTGGGCCACAATATAGATGACTGGGACACTTCTCCCCATTCAGTTGTTACTGAGAGGCCTGATAAATTTTATTCCTAAATAATTTTTGATCTGCCTTTTTCTGTTCCTGATGGTGAAATGCTAGATGAAACCTCTATTAATTCTTAGCTGAATTACTATAATGGTATGACTGGTTTTCCAGTTTTGCAAAGCCACCATTGTATCTTCACTTTGCCATTCCCATTCCCTTGCCAAAAGCTTAACTCTGGATAGGTAGTTAATAACCCCTGATAATTGATTTTTCTCTGATTGCATTCATTCTTGTTTTCAATGAATGGTATCAAGGGGTCTTGTCAATGACTTCTCCAAACAATGCTATAAGGTGGTTGTTCCTATATAACAGAGGAAGAAAAGAAGGTAAGTCATTCATAAGGTTTACAGTTAGTAACTAATGAAACTAGGTTTGGAACCCAAGTCAGTCTGCTTCTAAACACTTAACACTAGCTGTCTTGCTTCCTCTCAGAAGATAAATTGATGAATCTTAGCATGGTATACAGGATCCTCTGTGTTCTGATCCCTGCTAACTTCTGTAGTTCAGCTATCACTGCATTTCCCTTAACCCCACTATGTACACCCATTATTTTCAGGTCATACCAGACTGCTAGTTTCAAGCATGAAATCTTTATTCATACTGTTTCTGAACACCCTTACAGCTTCTTCTTATCTTTCCTCCTACTCTTTCAAGTCTTAGTATAAAATCATTTCTTGCATTGTGTCCCATCTTGAGTTGGGTGTCCTTTCCTCTGTGTTCTCTCTATCACCCTTTGCGAACCTCTATCTTTCCCCCTCCACATTGTGTGGTAATTATCTGTTTAATGATCTCTCTTCCTTTACAGCTAGTTACTTTTAAAGGTGGCGCTCAAATTTTTGTATTCCCATAAATTAGCACCTAGAACAACACCTGCACAGAGATGTTAAAAAAAAATTTTGCCGAACCAAAATTGAACCATTATGATCAAATTAACCAGATAATGACCTCTCCTTTTCTTTCTGGAATTAGCCCAGGCTGAGATCACTATTCTGACATATTAATGATGAGTCTCAGCATTATAAGCAGTCTTGCCATGCTATGAGTTCCCACTTTGTATGAGTACCAGAGAAAATGTGGCAAAATAAGTGTGTGTGAAATTAAACCCATAAAGAAGTTTCAAATGTTGAGAACATAGGTTACCATCATAGCTTGTATTTCTTCTGCCACTTTCAGCCTTCACATATGCTGTTCCCTTTGTCCAAAACACTTTTCTCTCCCATATAGCCCCTACCTTCCATGAAGGCTTGTCACAAAATAGGTATTAACTAATTTTTAAATAAATGAAGGAATTACTATAAACTAAATTTATGGTTATAAAAAATAAGTATTATTTTTCCTTTAAACTATGGCATTGATTGTGGATAAACTTTCACATTACTTGTTATTTTGGTTCCCTAAAAGCTTTTTTTTTTTTGGCAGAGTCTTTGATAATAAAATAAAATAACCTTAGACTTGTTTTAACTGTTCATTTTATCACATAGTATTTATAATTCTTTTGCATGGTGAAATGCAAAAAGGAAATGTTTGTTTCAACTAAGAACAATTATATACTTCACCTTGGTATAAAATATTAGAAGGTAATTCTACATACAGAGTGACTAGCAGTGACTCATAATTTTCTTTGGTTTTGTTCATGTAAATTAGTACTTTTTTTCTTGCAGTCTGTTTTGCTGTGACTGCTGCTGCTAATTAACAGTTACTGAATAAATTCATTCACAACTTTGTGTATTACTCATTTATAGGTATTAATTGTGGTCTTGCTGCTGAGTTATATCCTCTAGCAGAGCAAACCTATGATCCAGTACAGAACAAACCCATGTTATACTGTTTCTTGAAAATCAGAAGGTTTATTAATTGAGCAGTTGTTAAGTTAAATTTTATACTGAATTAAGATGAAGGCTTATGAGCACTGACTTTGGATTAGAATCATTTTAATCTCTTATTTATATATTTGCTTAAATCAAAATAACACTGTTCTTAATGCATTCAAAGTTAGGCTTGGGGTTTCTATATTCTGCTTTATAGTCTTTGGGGCATAGTTCTCATCTTCTCACTTTGCCATATCTTTCAGTTCCCGCAAGGCTTATCTGGTATTCATAGCCTCTGGATGCATTTTTATTTACTTTTCTAAAAATTGGTATTTGCAGTGGGTACATTGTAGCAGCAGTTTAAGTGTTTCTTTTTTCAATTACCCAGAGTGTCAGGAAATGCACTGGTGACAGTTTTATCCACTGAATCAGTCTTGCTATTTTGGTTTCTCTCATGGAACACTAGCCTCCATGGTCCTTAAGTGTGCTGCAGTCTCAGGGTTAGGCAAGTATCAGAAACCTGCATTGCTGATGTCAGGCTGTACTTAGGCTACCTTCAAACTCCAGGAAGACCACTGCTGCTTAGGGAAAGAAGCATGGAGTGGGAAAGACCCAGGAAAGGGTCAGGAGACTTGGTTCTACAGCTCACTGTCCTTGTGACCTTAAGCAGACTGCTTACCATTAGTGGGGTGGAGGAGGAGTGTCTTCGTTTCCTTATTTGTTAAATTGGGGGGTGAGACTGGGTACTCTCCCATACCCCTTCCAGGAGCTGATGCCATTGGTACATTGGCACTGGTCCATTCCTAGTCACCTTGCTTTAACTGGAGTCTAGGTAGCAATTCTCATCCCTATACTTCTTCATATTCACTCACAGGAGCTACAAATGGATTAAAGCTGAGGCACTAGTGTGCCCACCAGTCACCTTGTGGCTCCATAAAGCCTGCAGTTTCAGGAACTGTGGTGACTTCTGACTCGCTTCAGATATGAGAGGGTCATCACAGCTCCCACAGGTCCCAAAGCCAGGAAGGAATATTCTGGAAAATTAAACCCAGTTCTGAATTCATGTTCATTGTGGTGTATCCACTGCTTCCTCCGCAAAGAAAAGATGACAACACTGATAATTGTATCACCTTTGATGGATTGGAGATACGGCTTATAAAGAGTAAAAATTACAGTAGGCACATAAAATAACCCTCTAACAACTATCATATGAGCTTATTTTCTTACTGATTTTTCTAGTCATAGATTTCAACAGTCATAAAAGTGTAGAAAGCAGATACAGTGTAAAGAATAATTATAGATCAAAACTCATGTGCTCACCCAAGTTAATAAATGGGGCATTGTGAGCACCCCAGAAACCCTCTGTGCCCCTCCCAGATCAAAACCCTTTCCTCCCCTAGATGAAACCACCATCCTAACTTTTGAGGTAAGCATTTCCGTGTTTTTCTTTGCAGTTTTACCACCTATGCCCCTATCTCTAAACAATATAGTTTAGTACTACCTGTTTTTGTAAATGAAAAGACTTTATGTAAATGAATCATGGTATATATACTCTTCTGTGTTTTGCTTCTTTTGCTTGATATTATGTTTTTGAGATCCATCAATGTTGTATATAGCTAGAGTTCATTCATTTTCATTGCTTTATTTCACTCTGTTGTATGAATAGACCACAATTTATTTATCCATTCTCCGGTTGATAGATGTTTGGGTTGTTTCCAGTTTGAGGTTGTTAAAAACAGTACTATCCTTAACATTTTTGTACATGTCTCCTGAGGCACATTGTAGGAGTTTCTCTGGGTATATATCTAGGAGTGGAATTGCTGATCAGAAGGCATACGTATTTTCAAACAATTGTGATTATTGAATTTAGTTTTCACTGGAGCTTTTAACCAATACATTTTTAATGGAAATTTAAAGTCTTTTGTTCTCATTTAAAAAAGTTTATTTTTTCTATAGAAAAATGCAAGAATGGCCGCAGAAAAGCGTTATTCTAACACTTTAAAAGCACTAGGGATATCTGATGAGTTTGTTTCAAAGCAAAGCCAAAGTGGAAAAACATTTGAGTACTCCAATAACCAAGAGATGAAAAGTTTCACTGAAGATAAAGAAAGGTAACATATATAAGATGTCTGAATGGTTTGCCTTTGAAAAAATTCTTACCTGCAGGAAAGCATAAAATTCTGTTCTGTGATGTTTTATAGAAAGGTCATTTACCTAATGGGATACATGTGAACTATTATAAATCATACTGATATTTTAACATTTTTGACACACTCAAAATTCAACACAAAGATGAAGTATCTTATTTTTAAAGCAGAATAATTTAAAATTCTGATATAAATGATGAAAATAAAACATGCTTTCAAATGAAGTTTAAGGAGTCAAGTTTTGAAATAAATTAGTTCTTAGAAGAAAATTTACTTTCCCAATTGGCACCTTTATAGTTTTCTTGATAAACTGGAGCTCCTACACTTGAGGAAGACTGACTGCAGGATGGAATACATTGCAAAGGGTTTGTTTACCTTTAAACCAAATCATTTTTCCTTTGAAATACTGATACATTTCTTCCTCTAGCTTTAATGAAGAAGAAAAAATAGAAGAAAGTGAGAATGGAGAAGAAAGTTATTTTATTGATACCAACAGCCAAGATTCTTCTAAGGAAAAAGATGAAGCCAATGAAGAGAGTGGAGAAGAGAAATCTATTGAAGAATAAGACAAAATCAGCAGCACCACTTCCCTGTGCTGGTGCTGCTGTTTGCAGCGTTGGGTGACCGCAGCCATGCTGGTGTTAAGACCATTGATGGGAACCCATCTGAATATGGCACAGGGCTCCTGAGCAAAGTCATCTGTAGCCTGAAAAGGCTGAATCCAGCTGATTTGGTCTTTGAGAGATGACACCACTTTAAAATTCATCTTTGTATTCCTTTAATATTTTGTACGGAATTGTGCATATTGTAGGTACCTAATAAAGGCTTGGATGAGTAAGTAGATGAATTTGGCTTTTAATTATAATTACTTCAAAATGAGTACACATGAAAGTGGAAGCATTTCCCTTCTAATTTATTGAGAACCCGGGAAACACAAACCACAAATTGTAATATTTAAAACATGACTTGCATCCAAAGATTAGCTCTTCATTCTGTCCCTTCTGAGTTTCATGGGGAGAGTGTATGACTTGGTTCCAGGACCAATCTTCAGTTTTCTTTTTTTTTTAAGTGGGAATAGTACCTTTCTTGGGTGGCCTTAGGAAGGATTAGGTGAAATCATATATGGAAGGTTCTTTGTAAACTAGGCTATCCAAATGACCGTGTCAGATGACAGAATATTCCTGAAGAAACGTTTAACTTTAAGTAAACATACTTACATTTAAATGCGACATAAAGTGATTTCAGTATTATTTTGTTAGAAATAAGGTTTGAACAACTTTTTAAAAGACCATAATCTGGTAAACACAGAGCCAAACTTAAAAACATTGGCAGTTTCCAATCATTCTATGCAAAATCACTTTTTATTTTTGGAAAGCCATCAACATGACATCTGCGATATTTCCTTAGCATGTGGCATTACCATTACTTGTGGCCCCACGTCAGTTTTAAAGATGAAATAAAATATATTTTTCAGGTAGTGAGTAACTTTGAAAATTTTATATCATCAGAGTCTGCTCTGCAATTTTTTTCACTTATGGGATTGTTTTTCATGATTAGCCTAACATCAGGAAGAAGGTTATGCATATTTTTCCTTCTATAAAGAAAATGTTCTGGGTTACCTAGTGACCTCATACTTATGTATTTCTTCAGAAGAAGTGATCTATGTGTTGGAGGATTAACTGATCTTTATATATAGAAATATAGAACATATACGTAGATATGTATCATATGTTTATATATATATATCCTGTAGATACATACACGTATATATAAGACGGAAAATTTTAGAAATTATTTCTTTGTTCCATTTATTTAGTCTACACAATAAGACAAATAAGCATGCCTCTAAGAATATCAGGCATTTTTCTCATGGACAATAACTCAAGTTAATTCAATAACTTGAGAGTAGCAAAGATTTCAACATTTGAACCTAGGCAATAAAATTATACCTTAAAGTAATTGCCTTATTGCTTTAAAAAAACTGTATACCCTTCTCAACCATCATATGCTTGATATGTGTTTTTACTAGTTGTTTTAGAAGGAAGCAAGTTCTTATGAAATGAAATTTTGGTCAGTGAAGTTTTATCAATATATTGTAGCCTAAATAAAGTAATTACTTCGTCCTAAATGCTCTAGGCATTCTCAATTCTTATTGCTTATAAGTTGTCCTGATGTGGCCTGTGGGTGCCTAACTTATCTGTATTGTTTTTTAGAGAAGTTGTAGGAATAACTTTTATAGCAGTCTTTTTTGTTTCTACAGAGGAAAAAAAAACTAGGGTACCAGGATACAGTATGTTTTTGAAGTTCTACTTTAGAATCTGTTGAGAAACGAATAAAGACTGAATACATGGTAAAACCACAGTGTAATATTTCCTAGCCATAAAAGCAGATATATTTAGGTTATCTACTTAATCTAGTTATCCTTATTTTATTTTAGGTTTTTTATCAGTTTCGTTGAGACAAAACTGTACATACAGCACTGTATAAGTTTAAAGTGTGCTGCATAATGATTTGACTTACATATGTTGTGAAATCATTACAATAAGTTTAGTTAACAGCCATTATCTCATACAAATACAAATGAAAAAAATGTTTTATTCTTCAATGAGAATTTTTAGGATTCTACTCTCTTAGCAAATATACCATATAGTAGTGTTAACTACGTTATCATGTATATTACATTCTAGTACTTATTTATCTTATAACTGGAAATTTGTACCTTTTGACCACTTCCATCCAGTTTCTCACCCTCCACATTTTTCCTTTTGGTATAAATTAAGACTATGTGGTCTTTGGCAAGGTCTGAATCTTAATAAAAGGAGAATAACAATTGAGAAGAAAAATAGTAAAATGTGGTATATAACTGTCAAAAGTCAAGGAATAATATGCATGCTTATTATCTAACTCTGAAAAGATAGTAATACAAAGAAATGTGGATAGAATTTGCCTCTGGGAACAACAGCCTGGGAGTAGGCAGTTGAAGACTTAGTTTTTTGTTTTGTTTTTTTCCCTTTCAACATATATATTAAATAAAAATAAAATGAGGCTTTAACCTTGCTGGAAGCTATTTTCTGGTCATGGATTCATGGTATCCTGATACCAAGAAAAATGAAAAATATAACTTTTTAAAAATTGAAGTATAATTGATATATAAAGTCTTTTCTTGATACTGGCTTTATTGTGAGATATTATGGACATACACAAAATAGAATGGTCACGAACCCCAGTGTCAACAGTTATCAACTTACAATTAAGCTTATTTCTGCTCTGTTCCCACCCATTACCCCCTAATTGCTTTTGAAGCAAATCAGACATATTTCATGTATAAATATTTCAGTATATATCTTTAATAAAAGATAAAAATTACCCCTTGTTACATTGCCAATGCTGTATCACACACACAAAATGAATTATAATTTCTTAATACCAGTTACCTACCAAGTGTTCACATTTAACCCATTGTCTTATACATGTTATACAGTTAATCTGAATCAGGATCCAAACATGGCAAATGGTTAATAAGTCTCTTAAGTCTCTTTTTAATACACCTTTTTTCTGTTGCAGTTTTGTTGTTGTTGAAGAGCCCAGGTCCTTTATGCTGTAGAGTACCCCCACTCTGAGTTTTGTCGTTTAATGTGCTCTGCTGTTCCCTGTATTTCCTGGGTGTACATGACGTCTAATGATGCTTCCTTTTGTGATGTTACCCACCACTGATGACCACTGCTACAGTTCCTCATGTAGTGTCTCTCCATTCATTTTTGTTATCTGAATTCTCTAGTAGATTCCTTAGGAAGGGCTCATGGAGAGAATATAACCTGATTTCTAAAATCTTCTTAACGGTTTGTAGTCTTTATATTTGAAGATCAATTTGGTGGGATATAAAAGCTGTACCTCACGTCAGTTATCTTATGTATGTCTCTATTGTCTTCTGGCATAAAATATTGCTATTATGCTGTCTGTAAGTAATACTTTCTTTGTAAGTGACTTGGTCTTTTTTGCCTTATAACCAAAGGTTTGTTGCTTTGTTTTTTTCTGTTTCTTTAAGTCTGAAAATTTTACTAGATTGTATCTCAATGTTGACCTCCTCGGTCATTTTTCCCAGGTAGGTGAGGTTCCCTTTTAGTATTTCATCTCAGGTCTTCTTTTGTCTCAGAGAAGTTATCTTGGATTACAGTTTTTAGTATTCTTTTCTATCACTTTGATTAAGAACTTCTTTATATATATTGGATTATCTTGGCCTATTTTCTATTGAATTCATTTCTTCCTGATTTTTATAATTTTTCTCCAATTCTTTTTTATTTTTAACATTCTCATTTTCATTTCCAGTTTATTTTAAGACATTTGTTGTTTATTCACTCGACTTCATTTTTGAAATGATTATTTTCATTTATTTTTGATCTTATCTATTTCTCCCTCTTTTAATTAATTAATTAATTTTTTATTAGTTTTATTATCATTAATCTACAATTACATGAAGAATATTATGGGTACTAGACTCCCGCCTTCACCAAGTCCCTCCCCACAAACCCCATTACAGTCACTGACCATCAGCATAGTAAGATGCTATAGACTCACTACTTGTCTTTTCTGTGTTGCACAGCCCTCCCCGTGCCTCCCCCACATTATACATGCTAATCGTAAGGCCCCCTTTCTTTTTCCCTGCCCTTATCACTCCCTTCTCACCCCTCCTGCCCAGTCCCATTCCCTTTGGTAACCGTTAGTTCATTCTTGGGTTCTGTGATTCAGCTGCTGTTTTGTTCCTTCAGTTTTTCTTTGTTCTTATACTCCACATAAGAGTGAAATCATTTGGTACTTGTCTTTCTCCACCTGGCTTATTTCACTGAGCATAATACCCTCTAGCTCCATCCATGTTGTTGCAAATGGTAGGATCTGTTTTTTTCTTATGGCTGAGTAATATTCCATTGTATATATGTACCACATCTTCTTTATCCATTCATCTACTAATGGACATTTAGGTTGCTTCCATATCTTGGCTATTGTAAATAGTGCAGCAATAAACATAGGGGTGCATCTGTCTTTTTCAAACTGGAGTGCTGCATTCTTAGGGTAAATTCCTAGGAGTGGAATTCCTGGGTCAAATGGTATTTCTATTTTGAGCTTTTTCAGGAACCTCCTTACTGCTTTCCACAATGATTGAACTAATTTGCATTCCCACCAGCAGTGCAGGAGGGTTCCCCCTTCTCCACAACCTTGCCAACATTTGTTGTTGTTTGTCTTTTGGATGGTGGTGATCCTTACTGGTGTGAGGTGATATCTCATTGGGGTTTTAATTGGCATTTCTCTGATGATTAGTGGTGTGGAGCATCTTTTCATGTGCCTGTTGGCCATCTGAATTTCTTCTTTGGAGAACTGTCTGTTCAGCTTCTCTGCCCATTTTTTAATTGGATTGTTCACTTTTTGTTTGTTCAGGTGCGTGAGCTCTTTATATATTTTGGATGTCAACCCTTCATTTGATCTGTCATTTATGAATACATTCTCCCATACTGTAGGGTACCTTTTTGTTTTATTGATGGTGTCCTTTGCTGTACAGAAACTTTTAAGCTTGGTATAGTCCCACTTGTTCATTTCTGCTTTTGTTTCCCTTGCCTGGGGAGATATGTTCATGAAGAAGTCGCTCATGTTTATGACCAAGAGATTTTTGCCTAT